ATGAAATTGTGTGTGTTTAAAAGTTCTTATATTTTATATATTAAAATATTTATAAACAAAATAAGTTGATACCCTGGAATTTCCTCAAAGTAATTTAGGGGGTATATATGGGAAGAAGTAAGTTGGGTAATATAGGTGAAATAAAGTTGGCCATTAGTTAGTTGAAGCTGAGTAATGAGTACATGGCAGCTTCTTATATAATTCTCTCCAATTCTGTATTTCCCCTAAAAACAAGTGAAGGGAAAAATCAATGGGGATGACTCAACCACCCTGGTTGACTTCCAATGCCCCAACTTGAGCTGCACACCCACAGTCACACCTCTGGACCTTGGCTCCTGCCCATCCACCCTGGACTTTGGCTCCTGCCCAACCACTTTCTTGCTGTTTGACCACACTGAAGCCTTTTATTGAAAGGCCTCTCTATTTTTCTCCCCATGTCTCGGATACCTTCAGGCTTCAACTCCTGTCTTTAGTCCAGACCCCATGTTTCAGTACTTCTCTAGACCCCCATCATTGACTCTCCCGCCCTCTTGTTCTTGTACTACACCTAAATGCAAAGCCTGCACCTAAACTAGCCTATCTAGTCACTGTTCTCTCTTCTTGCACCCAAACTACAGCAGACTTCCTAAGGAAAGATTCCATATGCCAATCAGAACCCCAGCAGCTTAATTTTCTCAAACTTCAGTGAAACCCAACACTGTGGAACAATCCTTGAGAGTGATCCTGTGCCCTCTGCTGATCATCTCAAAGAGTCTCCTTTCATCTCAAAGCCCCATCCTGCCCATTTACTCAGCACTCTCAAAAGATAGCTAATCCTTCACCAAGAAAAGTACAACCACCAGATTCAAACTCCACCAACTTCCTCCATTCCAAATTGTAAAATTCTCCCCATCTTCTGCTACTCTTTCCTTAGTGTGTCTTGTTCCACAGGAAGAGATGACTCAGTTGACTTGTGTTCTGGAAACTACTTCTTTCACCTCTTGAGGGAAGTTAAACAATCATTTATTCTTCTTTCAGAATCTTCAACTCTATAATATTTTCAAACACCGTCTCTCGTCCCACCTCCTTCCTCTGGTTCTTTCAATACTTTTACATTTTTTTGAAAAAAAAAACTTCCCTTTTAGCTTTATTTCCTCTTACCTTCTTTACCAAACTACTTGGCACCATTCCTTCTCCAACCCAATGTCATCAGGAGTCTCTCCCCTACTACCTTGGTGAATGCTCCTAAAATCACCAATGTCCTCCAGATGGCCAGAGTCAAGATGTTATCCCATCCTTGTCTTATTTGACCTCTTAAGGAAAACTGATACTAATGGAAAGCACATAGGAGGCACTGAAGAACTTAGAGACAACCCTGAGAATACAGAAAGTAAAACAGGCTATAGCTATGATCAGACATTTGTAGTCTTATACAAGAGACTTTTGGAAAATACATGACAGAAAGTCGAGCCTGGTGGCTCACACTTGTGATCCCAGCACTTTGGGAGACTGAAGCAGAAGCATTGCTTGAGGCCAGGAGTTCGAGACCAGTCTGGGCAACAAAGCAAGTCCTTGTCTCTACAAAAAAATAGAAAATTTAACTGGGCATGATGGCATATACCTATATTTCCAGCTACTTGGCAGACTGAGGCAAGAGGATCACTTGAGCCCAGAAGTCTGAGATTGTGATGAGCATGACCATGTCGCTGCACTCCAGGCTGAGCAACAGGGTGAAAACCTATCTCAAAAAGGAAGGGAGGGAGGGAGAGAGGGAAGGAGGGAGAAAAAAACATGACAGAAAATCTCAGAAACATTCAGATGGTTAGAGAGTCTTCTTAGGAGACAGCACTAGACTCTAATTATAAATTAGTGGTGGATACCTAGGTTCTCAAAAAGACTACAAATAGAAAGGACTACTTAGCGTAGAAGAGAGCAAAAGCATCCTGTGGTAACCCAGAGAGTCAAAGGGCTTGATGGAAGTATAAAGAAAACCTTCATTTTATCACTGTTGCTTGAATCTAAGAATAAGCATAAATTCATGTATTAAACATGTAATTTAAAATAAGTTAAAAAGAAAAGATTCTAGTAAAAGAAGCCAAGAACCAAGAGTACATTTTATATAGTTTCATACATATGAAATCAAGAAGAGGCAAATCAATCTATCATGAAATAGGTCAGAATAGCTGTTACCCTTGGGTCGTACAGAAGGAAGAAGACATTAAGGGAGCCTTCTGCGGTGCTGAAAAGTTATAATGTCTTGAAGGGAAAAGGGTTGTTTCACGCGTATGTGCAGATGCAAAAATTCACCAGACTCTAAACTTACTTTCATGTAAATTTTATCTCAATTTAAAATTGACCAGGTGTGGTGGCTTACATCTGTAATCCCAGCACTTTGAGAGGCTAAAGCAAGAGGATTACCTGAGCCCAGGAGTTTGAGACCAGCCTGAGCAATAAGGAGAGACCTCATCTCTATAATAAAACAAAAATTAGCCAGATGTGGTGACACACCACATGTGGTAGTCCCAGCTGCTTGTCAGACTGAGGCAGAAAGATCACCTGATCCCAGCTGGTCAAGGCTGCAGTAGCTATAATCAAGCCACTACACTCCAGCCTCGGCAATAGAGTGAGACTCTGACTAAAAAAAGAAAAAAAAATAGGAGGATATACATTTTCCAAAATGGGGGGGGAAGCTGTGAATTGGCAACATCACTCCTAATCCCAAAACATGTTTTGTCCCAGTGAAACTAGTTCATAAAATATTCAAATTACACAGTTGAGATCCTGCACTCTGATTCCAGGCTTAACAAACAAATTTCATGATTCCAATTTGACTTCTCAGGTGGTTTACTCACCTAATCTACTCATGTGACTATGACCATGAACTTGGCCCCTGGATGCTTTCATTATTGATTAATAAATCAGCATTCTGGCCTGGAGAGTTCAGTCTCCAGAAACTCACTTGATGCTTGACCCCAAAAGATCCCTTTAAAAATAACTTGGCGAGACCTCAACTCTACAATAAAATCAAAAAGTTAGCCAGGTGTGGTAGTGCGCGCCTGTAGTTCCAGCTACTTGGAAAGCTGAGGTGGAAGGATCGCCGGAGCCCAGCAGGTCGAGGCTGCGGTGGCCGGGAGCATGCCACTGCACTCCAGTCTGGGCAGAGTGAGACTCCAACTCAAAAAAAAAAAAAAAATGTGCTCCTTTCCTGACTCTGCAAGGTTTACCTAGCGAGACCTCCCAGAAGTCAGTCAAATCTGCCATCCCCTGACAATGTCTCACTTTGACCATGCTCTTCCAAGATAGGGTGACTGGTGTCGGGAGATGGGAGGGGTGTCGGGCTTCACAAGCTCATCCCTTCTGTACCTTTCCTTCTGCCATGGCTCCCGCTGAGTTTTCACCGTTTTTCATCTTATTCAGTCCAGCTGTCTTGGTTGCCTCTGCTTTCTGTTCACCCCACCTCCCTTTCCTCTGCCATGCAGAGACCACACCTGCTTTGACTTTTTCAATAGTGCCTTAGTGCTCCATGGTCAAGCTCAAACACTGTACTTAGCTGAGGTAACAGTTTTACTTAATCTGTGGCTACCTCACCCCCACGCCCACTACTTGCATACATTCCTCTTCATTCATTATTGTTCTACATGGTAGCGTGATTGAGATTTTGGGTGGGACAATTCTTCATTGTGCAGAACCATCCTGTGCATTCCAGTGGGCTGAGCATTCTATTGAATGTCTGCAATATGTCACCCTCAGACATCGTGACAACTAAACATGCCTTTGGAAAGTTCCAAATAATCCCTGCTGCCACCTTTCCAACTGGCTACCTCCTACTGATCCTTCATACCGCAAGCATTGGACTTCATACAAAATTACCTTCTTCTTAGGTAAAGAATATCAAATAATGTGGCTCAACAAGTATTATTTCTTCTAGAAGTCCTCCTCAATGATGCCCAGTGCTTACCATCATGTAATAGTTCATTTGCTTGTTCCTCCCTTCTGCCACATTGCTCAGTCTTAATTATCTAGGAGCAAGTCACCAAGTCCTAAATCACTTTATCTCTCTAGCACTTGGCTCAGTGCCTGGCAAATAATAGGTCTTAAACCTGTGTTTGATGAGGCAACAAACATGATATTGAGCATACTTTCCCTGATGATTCAGTGTTACTATTTCTGGGCACTGAGATGCTCTCGGGGCATAATGAGCCACTTACTCTTTTTTGGCTCCTCATCAAATGACCCACTTTATGAATCTGTGTGTCTGGATTTTGCATTGTATCATCAGTATTCCTGCCCCCAGTGATCCTTCGTGCCCTTTAGAATCAGAGGCAGACCATCTGGAATACTGTGTCAAGGCATTCCATGACCTTTGGTGCATAAATGTAGTGACAGTAACTGTGTTTGTGCAGGGTCCTTTTATTCTATTGCTTGTCCCTTGCTAGGCTTCATACATTTGAAGTCAGCCCTCTGGTTAGTGAAGCAGCCAGTTTTTAAGAACCCTCTAAATAATCATTTTCCCTTTGAAAACTGCTTAAAGATGGTTCAGGAGGACATTAAAGTAGAAAAATATCCCTATGTTGAGATGACCATTCCTAGAATCCAGGGTAGAGACAGAATGATGGATTAAGTGATTTCTTAAGGTATTTTCTAAATGGTTGTTATGCCCCTGTGGTCACAAAGTATATGAGCACAGTTTTTCATTTAAGAAAAGTTGGGTTTTTTTAAAATCAATGAACACTGAGTTATAAATCTCAGATACAGGATATTTTTTAATTTTTAGTTTGGATGACTTTGAATAAGAAAAAAAAAATCTTTCCAAGGACAGAAATGAAGGGAAAAGCTAGACAGAAGAAAACAAGAAATTAAATTTTTCAGAAAACGTTTATATTTTCTGTCTTTAAATGTTTTCAATACACATCATAATAAAAGATATATAATTCAATCAACAAACAAGTTTTTTGGTTTTTTGGTTTATTTTCAATATTTGTCTTATTTTTCTCTTTGATATGGTAATTACAACTTAGGAGACAAACTATATAAACAGAAAAATATTAAATGACTTTTTAAAAAAATTAGTTTGTTGCTTGCAAGAAAGTCCATATAATCTTCTTCCCCAAAACATAATTTTATACCTTGCATTATACTAAATAGCTTATGAAAAATTAGTATTAAATATCTAAACACAGAAAACCTACAGCTGTAAATAATTTAAATAAAATAGAGTTTAACTTTAACATGATGCTTAAACAAAGCAAACTATGATGCAATATGAATCAACTTCATCAACTGGACAAGCTCAAAGAAGCACAAACCAGATAAGTGCTAACCACAAGGATGTGCAAGTGAAAGCTCTAACCCCAGCTAGGTTCTATTATATGTTCTTGGGCTGTGTCCAATTCCATTCCAAAAGAGCAACCATTTTTACATCTTCTTGACTCTTTGGCTGTAAAGAGAAAAAGGAGAAAAGTGTAAGCAAAGACAAGGCGACCAGATAGTGGAAATGGCTTTGATACCTAAAGGTTGTTTCATATGCCCTTAATCTCATCTCAGTGTGCCAATCAGCTCAGAGTCCATAGGAGGAAACCGAGGTTTGAAAAGGACAGGTCTTGGCTGGGCTCAGTGGTTCAGCCTGTAATCCCAGCACTTTGGGAGGCCAAGGTGAGTGAATTGCCTGAACCCATGGGTTCAAGACCATTCCGGGCAACTTGGCGAGACCTCGTCTCTACAATAAATCAAAAATTAGCAGGGCACGGTAGTGTGTGCCTGTAGCTCCCCAGCTACTTGGAAGACTAAGGCAGAAGGATCACTGGCCCAGCAGGTCGACGCTGGGGTGACCTTGAGTGTGCCACTGCACTCCAGCCTGGGTGACAGAGTGAGACTCCAACTCAAAAAAAAAAGATGGGTCCTGTCCAACATAGCTCATTAGTAAAAGAAACAGGATATAAACTCTTATCTGGTATCTCCAAGTTCAGTGTCTATGACACACTGACCTCAGATGCCTTTTGTCCTTTGATAAAATGTTACTCTCTATTATACCAGTGTAAATCAGAACCATTGATCTCTTTTTAACTATTTTTCAGTTTTTAACAAACAATCAAATGTCAGGTAGTCTTAAACTACATAAATAGGAGGCATCTTTGCAACAAAAATCAAGCAATTAATAACTATCAAATCCATACAGGACTATAATACTTCATGTGAGAAGATGCTAAATTAAAATAATAACAATGATTGTTATTTATAAGTGGAAAATACATTCTTTGTTTTTATAGTCCAATTCAAATTTTCCCTTTAAAAATTCCACAATACTTAGACTAAAGAATCCCAGCAAGCCTGTGGCCCACACCTTTGCACCCTCCTCTTTCCTCAGACATTTGGAAAAAGACTGATTGATTGTCATTGTTCCATACCTGAGGACACGCACAGCTTGTTTCACCCAGAACTGCTTTGGATCTGCACACACAGCTAATCTTTTCTTTGTGTAAAAGCTGAAAAATTAGAAAATTTGATTTGCATTTAATGAAATTTCAGTTATTTTTAGACAGAACATGCACTGGAAATTTTATATTTCAGTTGAATGTTCTACCTACTAAACATTTCAGCTAAAGAAGTGAAATAAAATGCAAACATTTATGCTTCTGATAAAGTTTAATGTAAAATGAAAATGATTCGCTCTTTCTCTGCAATGTAACAAATGATTGTTCAAAAGCAAGATGATAAAGTTCTAGAATTATCATATAAATCTGCTGCTGCTGGTTATATGAAATATGTATGTATCTCAATAATAATTTATATAATTCCAAAATATAATATTTTGTATGAATCAAAAATATTACATAGGGCATTATAATTAGCCTGAGACTTTACTTTCAGTCCCAACATTTTCTGGTAGAAGATGTTCACTTTAAAATATATGTCTTCTGTATTTTCCTGAGGTAGTGTTTTCATAGCCCATAAGTTTATCTCAGAAAGTGAATTTTGTCCTATACTATATTCTTTTTTCTAAAAATCAAAGATTTTGCCTTATCCCAGTCCTAATTAAAGTGAACTTTGAGGTAGATATATATTACTAGGCTATTATTGCCATGTCAATTATTTCTTAAGGGAACTCTAAAAAGACAAACAGTTTTTGTTCCTGAAATGTTCATGTATGCCTGATACAGCTGAATTAAGCCCAATCAACTTACATGATAGCATTGATGTCACAAGCTTCATTGGCCAGTTGCTGTGTGAAGCCCACAATAAATTTAGGATGAAGGACATATTCTGTATATCGGAGACAGCAGTCAAAGTTGCTTGCTGCTAAAAGAGAAGTGAATGGCATTGAGTCCACATGAATAAACTTATCCCATGATTGATATTATAAAATTTCCTCAAGTTGTGAAAAATCTAATGAATCTAATTTATATGGTGAATAAACTATTTAGTGGAAGAGTTTCGATGTCTTTGAAACCTCTATAAGGTCTTTGATATCTGATTTAATATAGTTTCAAGTTGTCTTAAAAAATAATTTGGGTGCTGGGAAGTTTGAGTTCAATAACACAGTTTAGAAACATGTGACTTCTCATAAGTGGGATAGCTTTAGTAAGAAACATAAATTGACAATATTCCATTTCAGTTCACTATAGTCACTCAAGAATATTGGTGCTCCTTCCCCCACCACTTGAAGAAATCCTTATAATCATCCTTCTAAATTCAGAAAAGGAATAAGTTGACAGATTCAATTATCTGACTACTAAATATTGAGAATTGGGGTTACAAAAAAATGTGATTTGTAGATGCTAAAGCACTTTGAAATTGTCATATTAATTAATGGGCATTTTAATTTTGTTTATAAAAATTTAACATGTGCAGTTTCAGGAATGTTCCCGCTGCTAAAAGTGATATACTTCTTAGTAACAAGGCAATACTTGGACACACCCGTAAGTTAAACTACAACCTGGTGTAAAGTAAGAGCTTAATGGTTTCTCAAAGTTGACAAGCCATATCCCCAAGGCCTTGTGGAGATGATGAGGTCAAGTGCCATAATCTGCTTCTAAAGAATGAGTCTTGAACTTTACTGAAACTATTAGTTGGGAGTTGAGAAAGTTGGTTAAGTGAGGGCATTCTCTACATTCCAGAATGATCCCATTTACTGGTAATGTTGCACAATTTGCATCACTCCCAGAAACAGGATTTTGGTTTTATCCTGAAGTTCAGGAGTCTCTAAGATCCCACCACTCCTAAAATCTGCTGGGATTGACAGCAAAGAGCAAATCCTGAAAAGGAGCAGTAACCCCTCTCTCCTCTACTCACCCATAAACTGACAACTTCCATTAGTCTCTCGTACACTTTCTAAAAGACTTCTATCCCCTAGGGACCCCCAGTTGAGCTCAAGGCTTAGGGGAAAATTTAAATAGTTCTTTCCCCTGTGCTAACAGAAAGAGCGATACTTACCTTCTGATTTGCTGCAGAGGTGGAATAGCAGCACTGACATCAAAGCAGCCAGAAGCAGGCTCTTGCTACCACACATAATTTTCAGCTCAAAGAGTAGGTCTGCTCAGTGTTGGGTACCAAATGCTTTGGGAGTGCTGTTATGTTCTGAGAGCAGCCTAGGATGGCTCTACTTATAGCAGATATTGGGAATGTACACAGAAGGCGTGTTCTCACATGGGATTTTCCCCATTGATCAACCTGCCTTATCATGTCATCACAAAGAAAACCCACAAGGAAAACTTCCTGCCTTTCCCTAATGTTGGGAAGGTGTGAAGGTCATGTCGGGAGTGTGGGGACTGAGAAGGAAAGAATCCTGTTGAACCCTTTGCATTTGCAAAGAGGAAAAGCAGCTCAGCCCTGTAGCCTAGAAAAAAGCTTCTGTACAGTTTTAACTTGATCTCTTTTGTCTCTGAAAATAGAGGATTAATAGTGATACAAAGGTCAGCCCCACATAGGAGCATTCCAAGACTTCTATTGTTATACCCAATTTGCTTTCCAGAGCCAATCAAGGAGGGAAAGGCTGAGATAGAATGCCAGGCATACTCAGGTGCACATTTACAATTGCATGGTTGGTATTCATTTGTCTCAAAGAAGACTGAATTTCTAGACCATCACTCAAAGTAGGTAATATAACAATGCTATTGCAGTGTCCTCACTTAGAGTGGATAATACCAGTCCTTAAGTAAGACTCAAACCTCAGCTTCACCTTGTTGATGTCAACTCTTCTTTTTTTTTTTTTTTTTTTTCAGTTGGAGTCTCACTTGGTTGCCCAGACTGGAGTGCAGTGGCTGCTCCTGGCCATCGCAGCCTCGACCTGCTGGGCTCCAGCAATCCTTCCGCCTCAGTCTTCCAAGTAGCCAGAACTACAGGCATGCGCTACCACGCCCGGCTGATTTTTTTATTTATTATAGAGATGAGGTCTCACTGCCCAGGCGGGTCTCGAACCCGCGGGCTCAGGCAATCCACTCACCTCAGCCTCCCAAAGGCGCGGGATTACAGGCTGAGCCATCGGGCCTGGCTCTAAGAATCTTTTATAGATATGTGGCTCTAATCAATACTGCAGCCTAGAAATAATCTCCATCTGCCTTTAACTCTTCATGAGGATATACTTACATAACTAAATACAGAGTCTCAGAAGAGTTGAAGAAAAAAACTATCAGCAGTGGTTAATCAGCAACATAAATGTCAAATAACAGCAATAATAATAATAATGTGAGGGGCACACCTCATCAACAAGGGTACCTGCATAATCAAAATTTGTACCTAACCCTGAATTGTACCCCACCTCTTTAAAATTAAAAAATTTTTAAAAAATAAATAATAGTAATGTAATATGAATCCCTAACCTAAGGTGGTATAGAAAGAACTTTTCACTAGATACAAATAGATTGAAAGTAAAAGGATCCAAAAAAGGTATACTAAACAGTAGACAAAAGAGAGCAGAAGTTGTCATGCCTGTATCAGACAAAATATATTTTTTAAAAAAACAAAAAAATGATTTTTAAAAATAAAGAGGGACTTTCATAATGATAAAGAATTAATTCATCAGGAAAGTACAAAAATATGACCATATGTACACTTAACAGCACCTCAAAATACATGAAGCAAAACTTGACAGAATCTAAGGAAGAAATAGATAATTAAACAATAAATGTTGAGAGCTTTGATAACACATTTTCAATAATTAATTAACAACACAAAGGGTACTTAATTCTAAACCCGCAGAAGTGAGGACCAGTTGGAGGCCCAAACTTCACCTGCACATACATTACATATGTACCTAATCCTGACTTGTATCCCACACCTTTATAATAAAATAAAGTTAAAATTAATTAATTAACTGTTAAAAGTAATAATTGAAACCAGGCATTAATCCCAGCACTTTGGGAGGCTGAGGTGAGAGGATTGCCTGAGCCCAGGGTCTCAAGACCAACCTGGGCAACATGGTGAGACCTCATCTCTATATAAATTAAAAAAAAAAAAAATTAGGCAAATATGGTGGCACATGCCTGTAGTTCCAGCTACTTAGAAAACTGAAATGGAAGGATCGCCTGAACCCAGCTGGTCAAGGCTGCAGTGGCCATGAGCGTGCCACTACACTCCAGCCTGGGCGACAGAGTGAGACTTTGACTCAAAATAATAATAATAATGATGATGATGATGATTAATTTAAAAATTAGAAAATCCACAAAAAATAGAAGTTTTGAACAATACCATAAACCAGCTAGATTTAACAATTATCTATGGGATACTCCACCCAACAATTACGGAATAGGTATTTTTCTCAAATGCCCCAGAACATTTTCCAGAATCCATCACAAACTATGCCATAGAACAAGCCTCAATAAATTTTAAAAGACTGAAATAATATAAATTATGTTTTCAAACCGCAAAAGAATTAAATTGAAAATCAATAACAGAAGGAATTTGGAAAATTCACAAATATATGGAAATGAGACAACTTATTCTTAGATAACCACTGTGTCAAGAAAAGATGAAGAAAATGAATGAAAACACAAACAACATGCCACAGCTGACAGAATGCAGCAAAAGCAGTGCCTAGTGAGAAACATATCTGTAAACACCTACATGAAAAAAAATAAGAAAGATCTCAAGCCAATAGCTTAAACTTCTACCTTAAGAAGCTTGAAAAAGAAATAGAGCAAGTTAAACTCAAGGCATACAGAAGTGAAGAAATAACAAAGATTAGAGCAAGGATAAATGAAATAGAGAATAGTAAAGCAGCAGAGAAAATCAATGGACCCAAAAGTTGATTCCTTGAAAAGGTCCACAAAATTAACAAGCTATAACTAGGCTAACCTAAAAAAAAGACATTGTGAAAGCAGGGATATCACTTCATTTTAAAGAAATAAAAAGAATTACATGAGAATACTACTAACAACTATATGCCAATAAACTAGATAACATAGATAAAAGACACAAATTTTTTATTGTGATTCAAGAAGAAAGTAGAAAGAGTAGATCTATAACAAGCAATGATATCAAATTAGTAACCAAAAATTTTTTATAAGTAAAATCTCAGGACTGGATCACTTCACTGATAAATTCTACAAAACATTCAAAGAAAAATTGATACCAATCCTTCATAGCTTTTTCAAAAAACAGAAAAGAAAAAAAATACTTTTCAACTCATTCTATGAGGACAGTATTATGCTGCTACCAAAATAAGAAAAAGACATCACAAAAAAAGAAGACTCCAGAGAAGTATCTTTTACAAATCAAACACAAACACCCTAGCAAAATACTAACAAGTAGCATAACCAAGTGGGATTTATTCCAGGAAATGTAATACTACACATTTATAGAATTTTTAAAAACATGTAAAAAGCAATTGACAAAGCCCAACACCTTCTCGTGATAAAAGCACTGAACAAACTAGGAATACTAGAGAACTTCCTCAAACTGATAAAAGTAATCTATAACCACCTCACAGCTAATATCATACTTAATGTTGAAACATTCAATTCTTTCCCCCTGAGATCAATAACAAGACAAGGATGTTTTGTTCCACTATTCAACACAATTTCTCTTAGACTCCCAGCTGGAATCTCTGTAGAAATGGAAAAGCCAATACTCAAATTCATATAAAATTGCAAGGGACCCCTAATTGGCAAAGCAACATTAAAAAGGAAGATTAAAGTTAGAGGACTCACACTTTATGATTCCAAAACTTACTACAAAACTAACCAAGATACATGGTACTAGCATAAGCGTAAACATATAAATTAATGGCATAGAATTAAGAAACACACCCCCACGTCTACTGTCAAACTGATTTTTTATTAGGGTAGAAAGATCTTTCAACAGGGGTAAGAACAGTCTTCAACAAATGGTGGTTGGAACTACTGAATATTTACACGCAAAAGAATGGAGTTAGACACCCTACCTCACAATATACACACAAATTAATTCAAAATGGATCACAGATCGAATTATAAGAATTAAGACCAGGTGTGATGGCTCACACCTGTAATGCCAGCACTTGGAATGCCTAGGTGGGAGGACCCTTGAGGCCAAGAGTTCAGGGCTGCTGTGAGCTAAGATCACACCACTGCAGTCAGCCTGGGTGACAGAGTGAGACCTTATCTGAATGAAAGAGACAGAAAGAGAGAAAGAGAAGGAGGGAGGGAGGGAAAGAGAGATAAAACTGCAAAACTTATAGCATCAATTTTTATGATCTTAGATCATACAATGATTTTTAGATAAAACACCAAAAACTCAAACAACAAAATAAAAAATAAATAAAATGGATTTTATCAAAACCAAATATTTTTGTGTTTCAAACAATGCTATGTGAAAAGACAACTCATGGAATGGAAGGAAAATTATTGCAAATCATGTATCTCATAAAGGGCTTTTACTTGTATGTAGAATACATTAAGAACTCTTATAACTCAATAATAAAAATATAAGTAACCCAATTTTAAAAATTAGCAAAATATTTGAATAGACATCTCTTCAAAGAGGATATATTAATAAAAAAAGTTCAACAAGCATACACCAAAAAAACTTAACATTTTTAGTCATTAGGAAAATGCAAATCAAAACCACGATGACATACCACTTGACACCCACTAGGACAGCTAAGATTAAAAAAACAAACAAAAAGTGTTGGGCAACCCCCTGGGTCCTCTCCACTTTGGAAGCTTTTCTCTCTGCTCAATAAATCCTGCTTTCTAAAAAAAAAAAAAACGTTTTGCAATGATGTAGAGAAATTGGAATTTGCATATGTTATTGGTGGGAATAAAAAAATGATGCCATCATTTTGGAAAACAGTTTGGCAGTTCCTCATGTGTTTATTCATCAAGTTACCATATGACCTAGAAATTCTAGGTCTGACTGCCAGATATACGTATGAGAAGGGGACCCAAAAACCAAGAATTTAGTTTTTAAAATTGTGTATTTATTCTTACATGTTTAAACTTTAGTCACCTTCAAAGTATTCTTTGTGTGATGCAATGCATTTATCAAGATGCTTTTTCCACTTCTCAAAACAGTTTGAACTCAATTTTGATACCTTTTAGTGCTACTGCCATTTTTGTTTCACCTCTTCCACACTAGCAAAATGTTTCCCCTTCAGGACTTTTTTAATCCAGAAAAACAAACAAAAAAAGTCGCTTAAGGTGAGACTGAGTGAATAGAAAGGATGGGGTATGGGA